GCTTGTAGCTCAATGAGAGACAAAGCGGTTTGGTCGGAATCCCGTTCTTTACGAATCATCATCTTTGCTTTTTCTTTTATTTTATTCATTCATGAAAAAGTAACAATATGTTTCACCGGTACTTAATTATGCCAAATATTGTAGGAGTCTAGGACCTTGGTGTACCAGCTTTGTTCATATTATGGACTATTGTTTGTTGAATAATTTAGATCGATAATTTGAACAACAACCGAAATTTTTTATGGGAAAATTTTATAAAAATACCCCAACTTATTTTCCATAAGCTTTTTAATACCTTAACTTTTTGGTTACCCAGTTTAATACCCTAACTAATTATTTTACCCAGTTTAATACATCAATTTTCAAACGGTGCCTATTTATCTACCTCGACTTAACAGAAAGATAACTTCCGTTATCTTTATTTTTTTTAAATAATTTTATATTAAAATATAAGAATAAATTTCAAATAAGTTTTAAAAAATTTCAAAAACCTATCCAAAAACTTGAATTTTTAAAAATAAAAATAATAATAGTATTTAAAATTTAGATTAAAAACAAATAAATTATACTTTCGGTTTTAAATTTAAAAACCAAATTAAATTATAAACAAAATTCAAAATTTTAATATTAAAAAAAAATCTTAAATTTACAATAAAGCTTTTTGCAGTTTAAGATAAAAATTAAATTATTTCATTTTATTCAAAATTTATGTTTTATGCCAATTTAGAATAGGACACATAAAAGAAATATATCACATTATTTGGTGAGAAAACTTTAAGATTTTTTTAAAATTAAATTTTTTTAAAATTAAATTTTTTTTTGAAATAAAAAACTTAAAATAATTAAACTTTTATCTAAAATTCAAATTATTATTTTGTAATTTAAGATTTTTTAAAATGTTTTTGAAGTTTTGAATTTTAGAAATTTTGAATTTAAAAAAAAAATTTGGTTTTTAAAAGTCAAAACCGAAAGTATACTTTCATTTTTATCAAAAATATAATTATTTTTTTTTCTTAAGTTTAGATTTTTTTTTTGGATTTTTAATATTTTTTTTTGAAATTTATTATAATTTTAAATTAAAATACGAAAATTAAATTATTAAAAAAATAAAATGATAACGGATGACATAGGTAATTGGGCACCATCTGAAAGTTGATGTATGTAATTGGACAAAATAATTAGTTGGGGTATTAAATTGGGTAATCAAAAATTTGGGGTATTTAAAAACTTATTGGAATTTAGTTGGAGTATTTTATGGAATTTTCTCTTTTTTTTTTTATTGTGTATCCGAAAGAGAACAAGAACGATTTTGTTGCCTACAATAAAATGTTAAGAAAACAAGAAGTTTTCGAAACAATTTCAACTTTTTTAAAAACATTCAAATTAAACTCGTATTAGAATGTTAACTAACACACATTTTATTATTATTCTAACTTCACACCAAAGAAAAAGAAAAGAATAACATACCATATCATTATAACCAAGAAAACTCAAAGAATATACCAATTTTTTTTCTTCTCACGATTAGGGTTTTAAACATATTCCTTCAATTCCATTAAGCCTCAAGTCAATCCACCTATAAAATATAGATGATGTTTCATTGATCCTTACCAAAAACCTGAGCTTCATTGCACCAACCTCTTCCACCCATATCCCCCCCCCCCATAAAAGTTTAAGTCCACAGATTTAATGTCTATAATTGTTCTCTTAAGCCTAATTTTTAGATTGATTATAGTAGGTTCAATGCCTTTTTAGTCGATTTCAAAGTGCTGGATCCAATGCAGTCTAACATAAATATTGTTGATGGCTACATATTTTTTTGAGGTAAAGCTTCCGCTACTCTTATGTATGTGTCGTACGTAAAAGTAGCGGAAGCCTTATCTTAACAAATACATGTAGCCATCACCAACACTTATGGTAGGTTTTTTTGGATCGATCCTTTTGAAACCGACTAAAACAACTATTGAACCTCCTATAACCAATGTAAAAATTAGGCTTAAGACAACATATATGCGAGAAAAGATTGGTATATTATTTGAGTTCCCTGGGTTATAAAGAATTTGGGAAGTATGAAATGTTTTGGGAAGGAATCCAAGAACAAATCCGTGTGTGGTTGACCACTTGGTCTAAACGGATAATATCATACTAATGAGGGGACTTGGACATATGATTGTTATTCTTTTTTTTTTGTGAAGTTAAAATAATAAAAAAGGAGGTTGGTTAAGATTATAATACGGATTTTGAATGTCTTTAAAAAAATTGTTTGAGAGTATTTCTAAAACTTTTTGTTTTCTTAATATTTTATCGTAGATAAGAGTATCTCTCCATGTCAAGAGGTTCACGCAGATCTTAGGTTTTTTACGTCTTCAACAAGAATACGAAGAAATACGATCCAAGAAAATTTTGTGGTTACAGAGTGAAAAAATTATGTTATAGGAAGAATAATGATATCTCTATTTCAGTCATTGCAGGTATAGCTTGTTAACCAATTCTTTATTACATTTCCGTTGTTTCAATTTGTCCGTTTGGTACGATCGTTTATGTAAGGCCTTCTAGCTAGTCATGAATATCTAAAATTTATGTGGTTTTAGCTCCATTAATAAAAAAAATTCGATTAAACGTTTACAACAATAGCCTAGAAAAAACAAAAATCCGAAGAAATATAATCCGAGACAGAAGATTTATCTCTATAACTCCTATAACCAAGACATTGGTATGTGTAGATGCTCTTCAAGGTTTAAGAGCAAGCGAGATACCAAACCTTGGGCACTTGTGTAACACTCTGAACCTGCGGTAGGAGGATTGGTAGGAAAACTTAGGAGTAAATGCCAGCTTAATTGCGGCAGAAACCCTGTCAGACTAGGTAACAGCCCAACGGGCCTTATGGTCGGGCCTTGAGGTTCTATTGACGTGGGAAAGGGGAAGGAAACCCTAGTTTTTTCCTTGGTGAGGAAGGAAAAACGTAGAGGCTAGTGGGCTTGGCCCATGTAGTAAGGAGGTGGAGAAAAATAAGGAAAGTGAATATTCTCTAGGAAGATTTTCGTGGGGTATAAATAGGGAGCTAGAGAGCTCATATTTACACACCAAAATCATTCTATCCTTCCAGAGCCAAAGAAAAACGCTTAGAAAGAGATAATTGGAGGAGCTTGAGAACGAACTCAACACCCCGGCCCCCCGGTAGAGAAAGTTCACGGTAGAGATAAGGCGCGATCCGTACCTAATCCTTACTTTCGGTCCTTTATTATTATTGCTTTCATAGGGTGTTTTAGTAGTATGGGTTATAGGTTAGGTAGTGGTCGAGGTAACTCGATCCGGATAAGGAGTTCCACTCGACTACGGTCGAGCACGAGAAGGGTCTCGTGGATGGCGAGGGGATGCGGTACGGGAACGATGAGGGATCAGGTCACGTATCGGTAGGCATCCGGTCTGGTAACGGTAGCACTTGCCTGGTAGCGCGAGAGAACATCGGCATGGTCTCGGGGTGTCTCGATGAGAGTCTCGATCCAGACTATGGTGAAGTTTAGGTAGTACATCGGTATGGCCTCGGGGATGCCTCGATGACGCCTCGACAGGTAACTAGCATAAAGTAGCATGTCACGGCTATACGACAGCGAGCTGTGCCACACAAAGGTACCGTGTCGCGACACGATAAGAGATCATGCCGCAGCAGCATAGTACAGTGTCACGGGTCGACAGACATCATGCCGCGTCTCGAGAGGGCTCGATATGGTTCGGTGACGCCTCGACAGCACCGCAATGAAGTGTTGGTGTTAGTAGCAATCATGCTGCAACTCGATAGAGTATCGGGGTGAGCATGGCGGCAAGTCTGGAGATGGGCAGCATGGGCGTATTGGCTGAAACCCAATATATACCCGACATAAGCTGTACCATGGATGCACAGGACCTTGGTAGAGAGACCGAGGCGGCCTGGGTCGTTACTGTTTAGCTTAGCTTTCACATTCGTCAAGTGATCAACCGCATACAATCCACCAATGGTGATTATGTTCTCATTCGTCGAAATTTTCCTTAAAACCTCTCCAACTGCGGCGCTTCTCTTCGACCCATCTAGGTGTTGAACATATGAAGCTTTGATCGAATATGCTTTATCTCCCCTGAAAATTTCCCAAGCAAATATTTTTTTCAGAGTATACAAATAAAACAGATCTCAGCTTTGATCAAGAACGAGTCTTTACTAGTATCTTACATTATTACTGATGCACATTTATCTGGATTTGAGACACTGATTCCAAAGTTGTACTTTGTGAAAGTTCGAGATGTTGTGTCATATCCAGCTTCTGCACCAAATGAGATGGTCGGTGAGCCAAGAGTGGCTGTTACATTAATTAGAGGGTTTTGTTTCAAAACTGCAGTTGCAGTAAATGTTGCGTGATCATGGAAGTATTGGACCTCTAGCTGTAAATCGTAGTTGAGATTGAATTCAGAAGGCTGAAGAGTCATTATAGGTGTATATATATATTAGGTACATAATTGTAAAAATGCAAACCTTGCTAAAGTTGTAATCAGGTACTGTGAAGGTGGCAATGGCTTTTGTCGACGGGAGGATCTCAGTGAATGTGATGGTTGTCTAGACCTTGCCAAAATAAATGTGAAAATATGGTTTTACTTCTTCCAAGAAAAAGTTGGTGAGTGGAAAAGCGAGACTTTATATCGAATCAGTGTTGATTTTAACATCGAACAAAATGTTTATGTACTTGTACTGTGTAGCAACATCAGCAGCATGTAATCCTCCTTTCTTCAGAGCTGTGGAAGTAAGAGCCTATACAGAAGAAGACATGGAAGAACATGATTCAGATTCTAAACCTAGCTAGACACAGTTGAATGAATCGGGGGGTTTTGATACTTACAAAGCCAGAGACAGTGTTAGAGGAAATACTGAATTTCTGATCGGTATTGTAGTCTCTTGTCAACAGATCTAACACAGAGGAGGAAATACAAAATCAGCTTATGCCATCAATCACCACGTACACCAATAGTTGACATTGATGTCACTACATCCACTCGAAATCGAAACCAACGGAGATGAAGAATTGAGGATTTACCTTTCGATTTTTTACCCATGTCGGAGAATAGTCTCGGTCCCTTACTCATGATGATCGGGAAACAGGAGAGATCGGCAAAATTTTCCGAGAAATAGAGTCGTTGAGAGAGAGAGAGCAAGGTAAAA